AGGTGTGGAAGAAGTTTGAGAAACTCTTGATGTGTGCGACAGATATTTAGTTTATACGTTTGAATTTCTCGAGTATAAATTTAATTAAAGACAAGATTTGCATATACCCGAATTTCCACATATCTAATCATGCATTATACAAATTTGAATCAAATAGATTGTTCACAGCTAAGTAAATTTATTGTTTTCTTAATTGCATTAATTCGACATTGTAGCCTTGCGTTAATTTGGTTTTTCGTCATTAGCTAATTTTAATCACTAATTTTCAGCGCCTAGTTAGTAGTTTGATTGATTAGTAATCGAATCGTTGCCTAATAGTATCAGATATCCATCAGTTCGGTGTCGAAAATTTTCCCGTCGCTATTTCGATTAATACCTCTACCGGCGTGGGTTGATAAAATTACAGTTTAGATTTTTACCGGTTACGAGAAATTGAGTTGTAAATAGATAAATCTAAACGAAATTGTTAATTGAGCTCGAATCTCGATCAGATACGCCTCGGTTTTCCTGTGAATAAAACAACTTTTTGGGCGGGTGTTGGTTAGTATTTCAAATCACAATAATTAGACGAGTACGGCGTTCTTATCGGCAATATCGAAACGGAATACCAGCGGTGCACAATGACTTGAATAGTCATCTATTTAATAGCTTCTGCACGCTCGAATCGTCCACTAACTGGTTTTTTTAACATCATATTGTACCTTACAAGGCCCGTTTAATTTCTATTACCTAGTTAATCTCCTAACAATCCCTATTAATTAGAATACAAATAGCCTCGAAAAATTTTCACCTCTAAAAACGTCGGGAGTTTAGCTCAAATCTTGTGCGTGAAGCAACCACGAAGGAAACAAAATAAATAAAGCGTTAACCCATATAGTGTTTAAAACAAATTCGAAATGCAAACGTACTCTCGTAAACTTATTTAAATACTTAGGTTATGCCTTTGAAAACTCATAAACATCGCCGAATAAATGGAAATTTACGACGTGGATTTTATTATGAGGCTTATTCGAAAACACCTGAATTATTATAAACAGATCGAAATATTATTTCTTACTTTAGTGGCCCACGCGTAGTTAGAGGTAATTGGATATATTGGACGCTGTATAGTGCAAATATAATTTTCGAATCCACACAGTGTATAAATAAGCTGGCAATTATCATTCGAAAATTAAAACGACAAGTCAAGTAGTGGTCATTACTCGAGTAATTACTCATTACGCAATAAAATTTACTTAATTTTGAAATGCCGATAGTAAATGAACTTCACTTGCAGTCATTTCAGGAAGGAACATTTTATGGAGCTATCAAATAAAACAACATCAACTTTTCCATTAACGCTATTTATTTGTAAAGACAGAAAATAAAATAGTACTTGCGATATATGCGGTAAATGAATTGACATTCGCATTCATTTAACTTCATTGAAACGATTATTACTTATAAATGCAGAGGTTTGAATATGCATTTTTCCCGAAATCGATAATCGAACAAAATTTACATTAATTAACATCTAGTTCGAGAAATTTGTTCACTTATTCGATACTGTTTATTGAAGTATAATGAGCAACATCCATTAGGCCCCAATAAAATCCCACTGTCACATCATTAATGTAACTTTCTAAGATATTGCACGCTAATAAAATCTTAATGTGTATATCATCTTACTCGTACTTTTAACACAGGCATTCCTCGCTCTGCATTCTCTATCGTGACGAGACCCATTCTATCGTTTGAATAAGGTTTTTTTCGTGATAAGGAATATAGTTCAATTGCTGTGGTGCGAGCCATAAAGTGGCCTTTACGACGCAACATTTAAGATTTCAATTAATAGTTTTACTTCGAAATTTCCGTGAACGATTTCAGATATCAGATGCATTAAATTGGGCATCTAGGCATTTCCGCTTATTTAAATCAGGTTTGAGGTATCGGAAAGTTCTGTTCTACGGGCGTTTCGAATCGAAATTATCGTTGCAATTTAATTCCGAGATGAACTGCGACTTAATTTATTTTTCCAATAACAAACCAGTAATTGTAAATCATGATAATTGTTGGCTCATTGATTGCATAAATGCGCAGTTTTTACTGCAGTTTTCGATTGTTCCATAAACGTACAAACAACACACAACTATTTTCTCGATAATTCATCATTGTCGAGACCATTCAGTATTCGGAAAGTGGTCATATTTCATGATTATGACAGTGATGGTACATAGTGAAGCCCGCTGACGTACAAAATGTTCACATATCGTGATCGAAACGGTTGCACGATATCTGAAAGAAATAAAAAATAACATTCGACCGCAGAAGTGACGCAACAGGGGCGTCGCGACGGCTGCCTTTTCGATATTAATATTTACCCGATGCTCGACATCATAAATTAATCACACTTAAGATGTTTACCAACAAATCTGGATTAACGTTTGGTTGGATAAACTGATCGAAATGGGAATATGAACAGGGCAGATGTTTAAAAATGTAATCTCTAGTTATTATAATTCAATAGGTGTACACAAAAGGTGCAAAAAATGACACCGGATTAAACGAAATTTGCTCTTCGTTCTTCCTGTATACAGACTATTATAACCGGATGTATACAACAATAACAGACCATTCGGAATCTTTTGTACAAATAATCCGCATTTACTCGCTGTATGTATTCCTCCCAGTTGGTAACTATGAAAATTCATATTTTCGAATGTTCGTTTCGGATTTCAAATGAAACGTTGAGTAACGCGTTTATTTCGGTATGCATTAAAACGTTTCTTCTCGTTTCGATATTTATTAGGGTTTTTCGAACTTTCTAAATGGCGTGCCTTTCAATGTTCGCGAATAATTACGCTTATAAATAGATTTTCTAATGTTTTAACGATTCAAAATGCGATCGAATATTACTGTTGCTAATAATTCTAACTATACTTCATTATTCAAGTATTAGCTATAAGTAGTTGTTCCTTAAAACCAATATATTCGTAGGAGTTTAGTGCGTAAAATTTATTTCCATAGGTGTATACATTTGACATGACCGGCTGGGCCGTTACGAAAATAAAAGCAAAAGAAAACCGCCGAACTGAACATGTGTATCTACATTTCGAAACGTTTCATTGACATTCTTAGTCCATTTGAGTGACCCGCGACGAACAAGAACAATTGCGAAAGCACGTGCGACGTTCGTTCCGCGAATTATGTTCGAATTCAATTTAATTGGTATTGATGATGGGAACCTCTCCCCTTTCACACCTCGTTTAAAACTATAAAACATTTTCGGGGATGTCCAGTTGATATTTACTCATTGTGAACCTAGTAGAGAGGCCTGTAAATTCAACTTCGACTATTATTTATTACCTACTCTTTTTCTATTATTCCTTTTATTTGCTTTCTAATAGGAACACCAACCTGGATGATTTTTCACTTCTTTTCCTATTAAAGATAAAATTTTTGTATAAGAACCACAGTATAAGAGTCGCCCACCTACACTATTAACAACCGAAAAAATTCATATCTATACAAGTATGTTTTTTTTTTCGTTTAAACTTTATTATAAAAATTTAATACATTACACGCTTACGAGTAAATACCCCTACGTGGGCAGAAGCAATAAATAATTGGAGGTCTTTTGAAGCAGAGGGCAGAACTCAAACGACTAATAGAGACATATAAATTTCGGTTGATTTATCACCACCACCCAGGATTTCGATTAACTATACACGGAGATGTTCAATTGAATAATTAGTGGGTGTAAATTTAATTTGTTCCATGCATGTTAATATTTTCCCATTGCTCGATAGGTGTAGATATATCCATATTTTTCTCGTATACCGATTGAAATTTAGCTTAGCACTCTAGCATGAATGGGTCTCATCAAATAAATTAAAAAATATATCGCGTGTTTACACTATGGAATTATATATAGACTATGTGCAAGTAATGGAATTCAATTTCATTTCGAGGAACGGAATTATAATTGTATATCAAAGGCGTGCCCGAAATACTTCCTGTGAATCATCCCAAAAAAGATTCAAATTGAGAAATATGTTGCAGATTGAAACAATAAGTCTCCAACTTTAACTTTCCTAAAAAGTTTCTCCATTAACGACGAATTTAATGATGTTAAAGTTTTTGAATTCTTGACTAACAGGCACTTTAACTCTGCTGTATCACTGATGAAAACGGAATTCGTTGTGCAGTAATAATTCTTTGTAGAGTTGATACTCCAAAAATCCTCCCCTTACATTCTAATTGGGCCACATTAAAAGTAAGTTCTGCTTAAAATTAGGCGTACATTACAGGCCGTTATTCATACACATCACGGCGTTCGGCATGCATGTATGTAGATGTCTGCGTCATTCTATTGAATAAAAGTCATTGCATCATTGAAACTAGCATAGTCTCACGCTTGAATAGATTTAGTGGCGCCTAAGCGAACGCTGAACACCCGACCGCGGAAGACCACGCGAAAATCGAATTCAACTTCAATCAATCAGAACCACCTCCCAGATCGCTATCGATAAATCCCGTTCATTGAATACCACTTACTATTCGGATGTAAACGAACAAAAAAATGATGGAAAATACACCTACGAATTTCCAAACGGTTTATTGCAAACGTTCAAGGGCGCGCGAACAATTCAAATAAAATAATCCCGTCTGTTTCGCGGTTGGCCATCGTAAAATTTAATCGCCAAATTGAATATATTTATGTAGTTGTGGAATACGCACATTCCGGTCGAGCGAAAATTTATTAGGTAACATCTGCTCCTAAATTATTTATACTTCTATCGTCATTGTTACGTAGAAACGATGCTGATGGATCCGATCGCAGCCAATAATTCGATAGACAAACTAATTTTATGTAGTGTCTAATGTCTGGCGATTAATTAGAAGAGGACTATTTGAACGGCCAACGTTCTCTTTATTGCCCCACCAAATTAATCGTCGTTATTGCGAAACTCGAATTAGTTTAGATGGCGAATTCAAATCTCTATTAGCAAGGATTGATCGTTTGGTTTACCAATTTCGTTAGTAAGTAATAATAAAATGTTTATGAAAACTGGTCAAAGAAGGTTTTTACGTTAATCTAAAGGTACGTTTTCATCAGTACAATGAAACATCGGAAAGCACTTTTTGACGTTAATCAATTAATCTATCAGAACTTCAAACTTTCTAAATGAACTTCAACACCCAAACTCACATAATAAGCCAAGCCCAAAAGGAATGTCTCGTGAATTTCTTGGAGGACCACGACTATCTCGTGCAGCTGGGTAGGAAGGGCAAGCCGATCGACGTGGAGAAGAACTCCAAGGGCTGGAAGGAGCTGGCGTCGTTGCTTAACTCCAAAATGGGCCCCAGGAAAACCGTGCACCAATGGAAGGAAGTAAGTGGTCGTTACAGGCGATTGGTAGAAAATGAAGGAAATATTTTGTAGACATTCAACGAACTGAAAGCGAAAGCCAGAGCAAGGGCGAGCGTCATCGAAAAACAGAGCCTTGGACCTGAAGCTAATCAAACCGAAAAACATTTATCACCTTTAGAGCACCGATTGTTGGTACTTACCTCCAACCAATACCTTCAAAGTCTTGTGAGGTATTAATTACAAAAAAAGCAACATGAAGAAACAATTTCATTAAATTTCAAGTTTAATTATTTGCACATACGTTATTTCCTTTATACACAAATTATTACAACTATTACCTTGGATATACTCATAAAAACGCTCTGTATATAAATCATGTCCTTGAATACCTAAACAAAACAATACCTTTGTGCGAGTAATCCTAAGAAGCGAACAATACATAAAATTGGCATATTATATGTGGCATAAGTGCGTTTTAAAAGTTGAATGAACTTCTAAATTGATTCAATCGATCCATAGGCAGACTGGCTGGTTCAAACCAACCTAGAAAATGTTAGATTAGCGGACACGGGGATGGGCTTCCGGTGACATTTCGTTGTTTTATTCACTCGAAGGGTTACCGAAATCGCGACCTTTCGCACCGATGCAATTCGAGCTCCGATCGAATGTCGAAAGGACGATCTTAAGCTCGGTTTTTTATTTAAAAATGTAACACTAAATTTACATAGAGTTTTATGATTACGGGAATTTTAATTTAGCCTATATTTACAGACGATTAAAATGAGTTTATAACGAATTCAAATTACAACGCTATAAATCTAAATCAATTTTATACTTCCGTTGGATTCGAATGCGAAAAAATCGTTTATTGATTGGAATTTGCATAGCGAATATCGGTTGTTGCGTCAAATTACAACCGGCGTATTAATAACTCTAAAATTACGTGTACCTTTGTGGGATGTTATTAAAAAGTGGCCGAGTGGAAATAAGTAAATGAGTCTAATGACTTAATGGTATTCTTCAAACAATTCTCCACAGTCGACCGGCATGCATCCTTAAATTACCGTGAAATTACTAATCAGTAATACAAATCGGTCGAGCGAACTTGTAATTTTTCTACGGGAAGTGTTAATTTTGTAATTGTTATTTTTTTTCGATAGTTTTTTTGAAATTCTTACTCTGTAATTGTTAGTTCAATTATTCATTATATCAGCATTTTTGCAGAAAAACGTATAGGTGCGTTATTGAAAGTAATTTACTCATTTGATTTTAATTATACATGCAGAAAATTTTACCGCAAGGACTATATCTACTTATATTGCAACATTTTCTGAAGTATAGTGTACATAATTTAGAAAGTTTTTTGAAAATTTGCTACGTATGATGTGCTGTTAGGTTCGCAATAGCAGCTCTTTTAGCTGCGATAGCAGCGTTTCTCATCAGCGATAAACGAAATTGCATTAACATTACTAAATATGTAGCCATTGAAGTAATTACCTAAAAAAATACGATGGCAACTAGTGAATTATTTAAATTTAAACGTATCTATACATACCGATGAAATTAATTTTCTGTTTACGTTTGCGTAACCATTTAAATTCATTATGGGCGGATTTTTATCGATAGCGGTGAGAAACATGTTGACTTCTTGTCGTGTCCTTTCGTCGACGGCACCTAAAATTCAAAAAAATCGCTCGATTTTAATTAACAAGTTCGCTCGTCAAACAAGGAAAAGTTTCAAATCGACTAAAATTTATTCATGAGTTGACTTTACGCAAGCCAAATATTCAATATTGAATTTTTTATTTAATCAAATACCCGCACGGTAATTATTGATTTAACAGCACTAAATTTATTACAGAAACATACTCGGTTCCTTTAATTTCAAACAATATTTACGTTACGTAAAACCTTCTTAAAAGCCTCTTTAATTCTCATAATTCTCACCCAGATTGACATTCAGCAATCTCTCGCGAAACTCCGGTCCCATTTTATTGGACGTCTGATGCCCGGCGTTGCAAATAATGAACAACAACGTCATGCAATAGACGGATATCAGGAACAAACCGCCCTCTTTGAACGACAAACCGTGGTCCAGAATCTCCGTTAAGCATCCGTAACTGGCCACAACCGTGGTCAGAATGATCAGAACGCAATACATCGCGTACATGCCGCTGTAAGCTTTTCCTGCAAACGATTCATTAATCGCTTATGATACTAATCGAAATTGTGATGGATTGGTGTTGATGATGAATGTGGCATAAGCCCGTTTGGCAAATCTATTTAAGGGATGATTAACACAAATTTAATAGTAACTAAGAATGAAGATTATGCAAAGACAAATCCTTTTGTTGCTTGCGTTTTATGAGTTTATGCATCTTCTTTATTGCTAGATTCCTCTTCAATTTACAGAATAAATTTGGACATAATATGTTTTTATATTATTATATCCTCCTACATTATTGAAGATTAATGATGGTTTTGAAACGACATAACTATTAAACATCGAATGCTCACAACAAAGTTACAGAGGGTATAATCATTGACTACAAAAGAACATTTAAAATTAATAGCCCAGAATTGACTTTGAAACAATTAAAATATAATTGAAACTATACGAAGCAAGTGAGTAATTCACTTTTATAACGCTATAGTGTAGAGTTTGTGTTCACTTTGTAAAGACCACCGTGTTAGTAAGTATGTACTTCTTTCAAAACTTATTACAGAAACCGTTCGTAAATCTGGTTGCACGGTAATTACTATTGGCGTTGAAAACAAATAATGTCGAATTAAAATCGACATTTACGGGTTTTTGGTCTTGCAAATTCGAAGATTATAAAGTGCGATTTCGCAGGCACGATGCTAATTAATCGCTTCTCTGAATTGCAGGAGTACGGAAATGAATGAAAGCCGATTGAATGAATGGTTACCGGGTATTATTCGGAATGCGTTGACGGGCGGATTTGCAGGTCGTTTTGAATGTGTGCGCGTAGGACTTGGATATGTTTGTAGAATGCAGTCGAAAGCGACAATCGTTGACGTTCTAATATGTTAATTGACCGAAATATAATTTCCTGTTGTATTTATTTTTTCTTCGGAAGTCGCTGTTATTGTGACTCGAACGAGGAAATCCATATTTGTTTTGCTGGCATCGCAACGAACGATTGTCAATACTTTGAATTTAAATAAAATTATTACATCATTTCGAACTGGTACACTAATCACAAAACTGTTCTAAGGAATATGGAACGAAACCAAATGAATATGAAAGGAAACCAAACGATGAAGACTCGAGAATATGTATGTAGGTCACATTTCTGCTAGCCATTTATCTAATCAATTAATAAATTTCATAATGGGGATGATTATTGTTGATTTACATTCATCAAAAACAATTTCTATTTACCTAATTGTTGCATCATGTGCGACAAATCCACCCATAGATCCCTGTACTCGGACAGACGAGTGGCCGGATCGGAGCTTTGCAGAGCGTTGTGCAGATTCTGGGACAGCCAGCGGGCGGCTTGGCCCTTGGCCATGCAATTGATGAACCACAAGGAGCACAGGCAATTCAGCATGGCCAGAATGTGGTAATAGGCGTAGGTGTGCCACAGCAACATGTCGGGTTGCACGTAATACTGGGCCAACATTACCATGATCCCTATGACCCAAGAAGCCACGCACAAAGAGTAGGTTATCACGGTGAAATTTTTGAATACCAACTTCGATTTCGTCACGCAGTAATATTTGTACTAGAAAGTGTACATAAATGTAGTTTCTAAAGCGTTTGGTGTAATGTACTTACCTGAAACTTGGTCCACATGTTCTTGAATTTCGCTACTTCTGATCCGTTCGTCCAAGCTCCGAGGGGCAGCAAGAAGTGGGGAACGAGGATGCTCAGAAATATGAAGGCGTAAACGTATTCGTCGAACCGTTTTCCCGGCAACAGCACCAACTTGAGCCGTTCTTGGAAAACTATCGACACGAAAATCGTTTCTATCGCGAATATGAAGTAAGCCCAAACGTTAGTTGCCGAGGTCCATCTAAAATTAGTCGTGAAATCTTCGAGTAAAGACAATTTCCTGTCTTCAACCAATTGTAGAGGATGATAAATGAATGATTAAATGACAAAAATCTTCACCTATAAGTGGTGTGTCCCAATTCCCTTTCGATGGGCATGACGCCCATCACCTGAAACAGCACCAAAAGGCTCTTGGTGGTGTGATAGAAGTCGTCGTAGTAATGTAGAATTTCGGCTTCGGTGATTTGCATTTCATCTTCTGTGGGTGTTTCGACTTCGATGACGGGCAGGTTCTGCCTCTGGAAGTTGGTGCGTTGGTGTGGGTTCCTGTGATGCAGGCTGTTGTAAGGTTCGGAATTCCGATCCGGTTCGTCCATTATCGTTTAAATTCCTTTATAACTAAATTGTTTATAGAAAAAATGGTGTAATTGTTTGTTTGCCTGCGTACTTTCAGTGGGTTATTAATTGTAGTTGATTTTTTAATTGCTGTAGAAGGAGAGGGTATTAAACCGAATCGGTTTGACAATTATTGTAATTTACTATGGCAATTTACAAGATTCTTTGATCGTAAACCGTAATTTATGCGCCGTAAAGCGTCTTCACGATTATATTATTAGAGCCGTGTAATTTTTATGTGCTCATTACTGCTCTATTGTACACGCAAAAAAATTGTACAACGAATTTGTTTGTAATTTAGTCTAAGTAAAACCTATTTTTATGAATTATTTTATTTTTATCTATTTACGTTTATTATTGTTATTTATGTTATTCTCAGTTTGTTTTTCTAAAACTTCCTTTACTTAATAGTTAGTTAATACCGCACACGCAACGCATAAAATAAACGAAATTAACATAAACTGAACATATTTAAAATAAAATCATTCATTAAAATACACAGGATAGAGATTATCGACTTGCATATTTACTTTGGAAAACTAGCAAATTTTAGTATTTCTAAACAGGTGTTATTTATATGAAATTTTATTTTTTTACATAGGTTAAAGAACTAATATTTTTTAAAACATAACAGTGCAATCCACTTGATCTTTTACACTAGTGTAAGAAAGATGTTATTAAAAATTACCTTTAAAAATCCTGCAGCATATACAGTTAAAGATTCATGCAAGATTCATACGCAGCCTAGTAAGATTAGTCGGTGTCTATCGATCATAAAATTACCGGAAAATAAATTTGGAATATAACAAATATTCAAAATGTGGATCTTAATTTCGGCCCATTGTTGCGAAGAAAGAAATCGAGTGGCTTGAATATCGAAATGTTCGGTTGCGTGTTCAAAGCCATTTAACAAGGTGTTGTATGTGAACACAAAAAAAATACCTTCAATAATTTCTATAATCCATAATGGCCGGGCTATTAATCATTTTTTCGTTATTAATCCAAGAACACCTACTTGAAATCTTCATAAAAATTGCACGTTGATTAATAAGATCGTTACGATGCATTGTTTTACTAAAGTTCCAATTTATTCGATAAAAAATTTGTTTAATTATGAGAACAAAAATTGTAAATACTTCGTGTACTTTTGCTCGACTATTACACACATTTTCTTTTTCAGGTTTACTACTATATCTATGTATATGTGTGTGTGCAGCACAGAGAAATTAAATATAGAAAAAGAAAAACGATCTCCTAGATATCCAGCAGAGGTAAGATAATTAATAATAATTATATATTGAAATTAGTAATCTTGCTCGTACAAGAAGAATTGTTAAATTATTCCATTGTGTATTCCGATATAAAATAAATGCATTACTTTTGACTAAAATCAATATATTTATGTGTGATAAATTCTGGCAAAATTATTAATATCATGACTACAAATAATTTGTAATTACTCTTATATCTCACATGTCACATGCTAGTGACTTGCATAGAGAAATTTTTTCTTATAATTTGCTTCACTTTATCCATGAAATTAAAAGTAATTAGACCAATCTGAATTATTCTTGTTTGAGATATAATTTTGGTAATTTAGTTCTTTTTTTGAATGACGGAAAAATTGTTATATTTCGTTTCTTTTATATTGAGGACATTGTTTAATTTCCAATAAATATTTTCCCTTCAATAAATATTAATGGAATTTTAGAGCTTCTAAAGAATTTCCATAAAATTTAGCATAATGGAAAACCTGTGTCGAAATTAAAAATCACCATTTTATTTTCGACATATTTATATATAACGACAGTTACGTCAAATGGAAATGCGTTTATTTTTAAATGAATTCCGTAACGTAATTTATATTTTACGTTCGACAGACTGTGATAAATGTATATCTTTCAAGTTTTTCTATTATGATACGACAATAAAACGCAGCTAACACGTGTACTAGTTTTCATTGAATTAACATCAAATACCTTTTTTTTTATCATTTTTAAAATTAATCTAGGTATCACATACCTATTCTTATTTATACTGGTTGCATTCCATTTTCTCGAACCCAACATAATTATAAAATAAATGCAAGTTTACTAAATAAGAATTGCATCCAGATTTGTGCATATTCCTTTGTTCAACTTATTTTCTTATTACAAAACATTAAACATTATTAAATTAGTTTCTTTTATAACAGCAATAGTGTTAGAAGCGATATGTAAATGCATCCTATTCTGCACATAAATACCGACGCATTCTCGTGAAACGAATGTGTCTAATAAAGAAAGCAATGTTTCATCTTAATATTCAAAGTCGTACCACAATTGACCATTGTGGATTCATTAGGTACGGATAAAAGCGATAAAGGCGAATCGATGTGCGGAATACAATTTCAATTGTCAATTCTTACTATGCAGATTGAATTGTTTATGATGCGGTTGTGTTATGGTGAATATTTTTTATCCTAGCGACACTAAAGCTAAATCTTCACTCGAACAAAAACACGAATTTCTTATTTATAATGTAATTATTATGAACAAAATTGAGTTATCACTTAGTAATTATAAGTATAAGAAATGGGCCAAATGGTGTTAATCAGAAGTGAATTATTTGTTAAAAAAATGTACTGTTGACAAGGAAAATGCATCCCAAAGTAGTAATTTATTCGTTGAGATTATATGGAGTTATGCAGATGAGCCCGATTATTCAAATTGGATCGTAATATATTAGACCTTATGTAGAAACAAACGGTTCGATGTCTGGTTAATTGCTCGAACTCTTTTCTAATTCATTAGACCGGAGATAGGTGTTCTTCAAATAGAATAATAGAGAATACTGTTAAATTTATTTAACAATTCTCTTTAAACCTAAGGGAAATCCTCCCTCTGCGGTTGCATTCAACGTTCCTTTCGACAGCTGAATAGGAATCACCGTCTTAGCGATGGGAATTATTTCGAAGTTGGCCAGCAGATAGAAAAATACAATTTTCATTTCCTGCAGAGCAAACCGATTCCCGATGCAACTCCTCGGGCCGAAGCCGAAGGGCATGTACAAGTACGGATCGATCTTCGCTTTGTTCTCGTCGTTGAATCTTTCAGGATCGAATCGGTCCGGATCGGGATAGATTTCGGGGTCCCGGTGGATGCCGAAAATGGGCAACCACAAGGTGTCTCCTTCTTTTACTGTGATCGGTTTTTCATCGGCTCGAACCGGCTCGATTGTATAGGGAATCGTGCAAACTCTGTCGGTACCCTGACCGATCGGCCATTTCCTTAAGACCTCTAAAAACGAACGGTGTAAACAGGAGAAAACAATAGTTGTTGAATTTAATTTACCTGACACGACCATGTCGAGATATTGCATCTTCAAGATGCCGTCGTATGTGGGTTTACCATCGTATTTATCGAGTGTTTCGTTAATTTCTTCTCTGAGTTTGCTCTGTACATCAACGTTGACAGCTAATTCGTAAGCCATAAAGCACATTGATGAAGAAACACCGTCGAAACCAGCGAAGAAAAATATTAAGGCTTGTGCAACAATATCCGTAATACTCAATTTTCCTGCAACACAGAAAGGTTATAGGTCCTGATGTTAAAAGAAACTGTAGTAAATGTAGTAGATGTAAATAAACTTTAAAACTAGCTTTCTTTTTCGCATTTGTATTGTGTTTTTCATTAAAGTACTTTCTGAGGTACCATACAATTTCGTTTAGAATTTACCAATAATCAAATTAGGTAAATGTTCATTGTTAATACATAATTAGCTTTCTACATTCATCATGTTAGTTCATTATTCCAAATTCAACATAAATTAGGCAAATAAACTCGTGGTTAAAGAAAATAATAATAAACAAAAAATGGTTTGTAAATACCAGTTTTGGAATCAATATTCTCTCCATTTATTTCATCTTCTGGTTTCTGGGCATCCATAAGCAGCTGCAAAACATCGGGACGTGTAATACCTTTTTCCTTCCTCACTTTAATGTTGTTACTGACAAGATCCATGAAGAATTGCGAGATTTCTTTGTCGAAAAATCCTATATTAAGATACTGAAGCAAATGCTTTGTTATATTACTGGATACCGAGCAAATTAACGGAAATAACTTACGTATAAGATTTCTGGGCATAAAAGCAACGCGAAGAATTTCAATCTTTGACCCAAACTATCGAAACTCGTGGCTTTCTTTCCCATTCTGTAGAAATCGTTGTTTGGTTCTTTGAGGGAGTTTACTTCAATACCGAAAGCTGTAGAAGCGATGACATCATTTGTATATCGGCTAAACACGTCCTTCATTTCAACTTCTACGACGTCTTGGTTCTTTTGCAAGAAGAAATTCGTAAACGATTTGGCGCAATCGGCCATCAGGACGAACATACTTTTCATCTTGCTGCTGGTGAACGAGGGACTCAGGATTGGCCTCATGTCTCGCCACCTTTGTCCTGAAAACATCGTTATCTAGGCATTAAATTATGCTAATAAACTTGAAAAGAAATTACCTGTGAGTGAAAACAAATTCTTTCCGAACAACGGATCCGCTCTTTCCGTAACGAACGTTTTGTGGTCTACAAAATGATCGAAATGTTTAATTGTAATTAGTTTGATTAATTCGGGGTCCTTGATGATTAACTGCGGTGTTATAAATTGGCACATGGCGGAATATCTAAAATTGTTGTTAGATTCAATATATCGGAAAACAATAAAGAAGAGAGTTAATTTTTATTGGAACTCACCTTGTTCCAGGCGCGAAATCGTAAGTCCTCTTTACCATCTCTGAAAGGCTCTCCATTTTGAACACATTTCGCCAATTATCGCCTAGAATCCACACAATCGGAGTTTGCTTAACACCTTGGTTTTTCCAATAGTACATTGGCTTCACACAAATGTAATAGAATAAAGCTATGATAATTGTTAATAATGTAATTACTATAAACATTTTGTCTTCTTGTATTTCGACAATCTAAAAGAAAATACAAAACTTCTTCACGAACTGATCAATTGTACTGAGTAATCATTTTTTCTGTTACAAAGTAGTGAGTGATGTTTAAATGAATCTTGTAAACAAATTTATAAGTACTTATTGCAATCAAAGGTCATGATCGCAGGAAAGAGATAGGTTGTTGATAGCTATATCAATTTTCATTGAGTACAAATTGATTTCTATATATTTGTTCAATTACCTCTCATTCTTAATGCTAAGTATTATTGTTAATTATACCTTTAGTTGCTACAACTTAAAAATCTTACCTGAAGTATACGCTTTCATTAATCGTTATAGATTTTTAAGAGACAAATTTACAATTTGAAATTAAACATTCGTTGGTAACTCATCTGCATATACGTATATACTGAAATAAAGATTACCTTTATCACTGTTGACAGGATGCAGGCAGTGTATATTCGAATAACATCAAAATTATACCATGTGACGAGCTCAATTAATTAATAGTGACTGTTTTATTAAATATTTGCTCTCGGGGCCTTTTGTAGGATTTACACGTGGAGAGTAAAAGTTAAGTACTGATGACTCCTATCAGTTAATTTGTATAAAAAGGTAAATAATATACAACAAGGAATTAAATTTTATTAATTCAGTAGCAGAGTCATGTTACAAATGACACAAAATGTTCTCTCTAGTTTTTTTCCAAAAAATGTTCTCTCTACTTTTATGCACAAAATGTTCTCTCTACTTTTATCCAAAAAATGTTCTCTCTACTTTTATTCACAAAATGTTCTCTCTACTTTTATCCAAAGAATTTTCTCTCTACTTTTATGCACAAAATGTTCTCTCTACTTTTATCCAAAAAATGTTCTCTCTACCTTTATGCAAAAATTTTTTTTTTACTATTATGAACAACATTTTCTCTCTACTTTTGTACACAAAATTCTCTCTACTTTCATGAACATTTTCTCATTACTTTAATGTACTACAATAAATAGTACAATAGTATAGGTACCGCACGGAGCAATGGCTAAATTGGTAAATTAAAATAAAAACGAAAATAAAAAAGGTAAATAATATACAACAAGGAATTAAATTTTATTAATTCAGTAGCAGTCATGTTACAAATTATGGTAAAAAGTAGTACTGCTCTTAGCAGCAAACTATACAGTGTTAGAAAATTTTTCGCGCATAATAGGGAAATCAATGTTAAATTTTTAGCCGGCTGAAGTCCAGTCTACCAGTATACATTTCAATAGAACGTCGCGATGAATTCTAATAAATTTAATTGTTCTACTGGATCGCACGCCGCGATTTGTAGAGGTACAAAGTTATTTGTGTTAGGTATGAGGTACAAAATTATTTAGAAACTACATTTAATAGGTTTTTTGGGGATATTTCAAAAAATGTGTGTATCGGAAGGTACAGTTTTGAAACAGCAACAAATTTTGTTGAAATAAGGGAAAAAATAATTCAATTTTCAGCTAGAATTATACCTCAGCCCAGTAATATGGGATGACATCTGTATGGCAGGTTTGGCTATAGTTTAGCAGAAAGCGGTAGACTATTTTTTAGAGTTCTTTTATTTTCTGTTTTAAAATAATCTAAATTTATTTTTGAAGTTTCCTTTTTATTATTTTCTTAGAATTTATAACTTTCTTTTTCAAGCCATTGTGGCAAAAAGACATATCTACATAATTCTATTTTAATAATAGTGATATTTTTTCAATAAATTATCGTTTAAAAATTCTCATTTCTTTTTAATCGACTCGTCGTTCACCCATCCGAACCCGTTTTGATACTGTCGAAGTGTCGAAACCTTCGAAATTATTTGATTTTTAATCTAACCAAGCCAAAGCGCGGTGTGAAGTCCAGTAGAACAATTAAATTTATTAGAATTGATCGCGACGTTCTATTGAAATGTACACTGGTAGACTGGATTTCAGCCGGCTAAGAATTTAACATTGATTTCCCTATTATGCGCGAAAAATTTTCCAACACGGTATAGTTTCTGAATTAAAAAAAATGAACAATTCTTTCCACTAAACAAACATTAACCCACATTTAATTAAAAATGATCGTCGTGAAAAAGGAACTGTGTCCAATTCCCGATAAATAATTAATCATGACATCAAAAGTCCGCAGTACCGACAACGAAGACGTGTAACATGCATGTTAAATTTCATTTTGTATACCGGAGTGCTCCGTCAGAATCCACAATGCCATTTGACTCCAGTAGCGTAGTTCAATTATATAATAGTACCTACACCGATTTCGGTACTCCGATCTAGGTCGATTGAAACCATTCCGAATGAATACCAAATAAATCTACGCATGTTTTAAATACGCCCATTAAAATTTCGTCAGGTACACGCACTATTAACTCCCTGCGTTGACTAAATTCACAAATAATACCGAGCATTGTTAAGTTCATCAGGACTCCAGTTAAATTAGCAAGGACTACAAACATTGGTTTAGGTACACGTCAATGTTTATTGTTAGTGACGGCGCGTCCGGCTCGTTTACATTAACTTTCGAAAATCCGACGCCCGCGCCTCGTCGAATCGTATCACGAGATCGTACTTAAGATCATGTTATGTAAATAGGGCCCAGTTATCCACTACGAACAACCCCCGGAGAGCGGCTACCTTTCGGCGTTGTTTCCTCCTCGGGATATGTTAATCGAGAAAGATGTCGAAGTTCGTGTTGTTTATTTTCGAAGTAATGGGCATCCTACAATGCCAGTGCGTTATAAATTACGAAGGGCATTTATATTAACACTTTCGGCTAATACAAATTTGTATGTTCATAATTTAGATTTTACGGGTGGGTTTTTTTTATGAAAGAGTTTCAGTAGCGGGAAGATTCGAAGCGTTGATGGAGATATTTTATTGTTTACAGATTCAACAAATGTACAAGGATCAAATGCAGAGAAGAGTACCGAAATCGACTGGAGAGTGGTCGGATTGGTCCCCGTGGAGTCCTTGCTCGAGGACCTGCGGTGGAGGTATAACGCAACAGACCAGGCATTGCATCCATCGACCTGCTGACCTGAGGTAATGGGAATACAAGCTCGTTTTAGCTTTATGTTAAATTCGGAGTTTGATTGTCAAACGAACAAACGCCATCCGCATTTGGCCGAGTGTTTGTTCAGTTGAGCATTAAAATAAATTGACCATAAAAATTCTAATCAATAAAAATGCTAATTATGGGTATGTACCTATTTGTGTGCAGTCAAGACTCGCTTTTTAACGACCACTTCACGAGAGGTCCTCTATCGAACATTCAGGTTTTTAATTGATATAATAGCTACAGAGTGTTGGGCAAATAATGCGAAAAAAATTCCATTCGAATGGAGTGCTTTTGTATTTACTAGAAAGGAATTTTTATATTGGATCGGATTTCGATTTTCAAACATCGAGTGATTGATATCTGTTGTTGATTAATTGATATCCATTATTTTTTATAAAGTGACTGATATCAATAATTTTTCTTATCTTAATTTTTTAGATAGAAGTAGGCTTTATTAATTGATATTTACAATATTTTATATTAATATATTCACAAAAAAATGAGATAACTGAAAAGTTTTGAGCGCGTAAAGTTTGATTGAAATATTTTGATACAAAGAGAATGAAACGGTGAATTTGTACGTAAATTATTGTAGGAATTATTTTAATTAAACAAGAATGTTTAGAAACAATTCCAATAAGCTATCGAATATATCGGTTAAAAGAAAGAATCTGAATATAAATTACGCCTTTGTTTTGTGAATTATAAATTTTTGGAAACATACTTCTACATTTAGGCAATATTTTCTACAGTAAAACATAACTTCTTTAATTCATAATAACCAACTCCAGTAAGTTCTGGGCTTATTTTTAAATTCAACACCCATTTAGATTATGAATTATTAGTTGCAAACCAATTAAATCGCATCGTTTAGGTACGATCAAACGATTAATCTTTATCAAATTATAATCGCGTTAGGTTAAAATAATTTTTTCAAACGTTACAAAAGGTATGTTGTGCACATTCGGGCGTGCAGAATGAAGGAAGTGACGTTATCTCACGCCCTGACCACTTCGATGCCCCTAAACAATGAAACATTAAATCAATGCCCTGTCAAACTGTGCTATTTGCCTTTAGGACTGTGCATTCTACCTCTTGCCTGCACGATGTCATCTTTTTCGCTAATAATAACACGAAAATTGCCGTTTTCTATCATTATATGGTAAACAGTTATAGCTAAACTGAAACCGATGGTGCGTGAATTTTCCGTTTGCGATTTTAACGCAATAGGTAACAACTGGTTTTCAGGAATAAATTCTATACAATGTATTTTTTTTGTTGTTGTAGGTTTATCAGTAAACAAAGAAGACGCCGTCAAAATAGGCTAAGCGGCTGCGTAGGTCTCTATAAGAGGATTCACCTATGCAACAATCACGTAAGTTAATTCCTTATGCTTCGCAAACATATTGTTTACAAGTAGATATATCAATTAGATAATCCTAGTGCATACAATCGTAAAACAGATAGTAAATCGTGCTGGCGCTACGAGTTTCATAAATTAAATTAGTTGATTTTAGCTCGAGCCTCTTAAAACCTGTCACTATATTTTAACGTTTTCCCTCTACCTTTATGCATAACATTTTCTCTCTACTTTTATACAAAAAAAAATTCTCTCTACCTTTATCCAAAGAATTTTCTCTCTACTTTTATGTACAAAATGTTCTCTCTAGTTTTTTTCCAAAAAATGTTCTCTCTACTTTTATGCACAAAATGTTCTCTCTACTTTTATCCAAAGAATTTTCTCTCTACTTTTATGCACAAAATGTTCTCCCTACTTTTATCAAAAAAATGTTCTCTCTACTTTTATGCACAAAATTTTCTCTCTACTTTTATGAACAACATTTTCTCTCTACTTTTGTACACAAAATGTTCTCTCTACTTTTATCCAAAAATGTTCTCTCTACTTTTATGCACAAAATTTTCTCTCTACTTTTATGAACAACATTTTCTCTCTACTTTTGTACACAAAATGTTCTCTCTACTTTCATGAACATTTTCTCATTACTTTAATGTACTACAATAAATAGTACAATAGTATAGGTACCGCACGGAGCAATGGCTCGCCGGGTTCGTTACGAACGGGTTAACAGCAGAAACAAAAAGAACCACGTCGTTAGTTAGAAATGATTATTATACGATTTTGTTTCAGGATTGTCCGTCGGGCCAAGACTTTCGTTTCGAACAATGCGCCTCATTCAATAATCGACTGTTCAGAGGTGCTCGGTACCGATGGGAGCCCTATCACAAAGGTAATCCGATGTTACATTCATAAATTAGAAAAAGCCATCCTTCACGAAAACGGCCATCAGGTTAATTTTGTAATTAAATTACTCGTTGTTTGAAAACAAGGGTCAGCAGGAGGTCCATTCTCACAACAATTCATGATATTATTTCCGTATTTTTTGAACAAATTAAATTTTTTGTTTTAAGTCGAAATTTTTGACGAGGAAAATTGTTTAAAGACTGTTCTGAATATATGCAACACATAATACTTGCTCGTGCTTAGGAAAACTCTACGTTACGCATTTATAAATGTGTTTAAAATTTGGTGCAGGCGCCGCTCAAGGATGTGCACAAATCCGGGTTTGGAATATTAATGATTCATTCCTATAATCTTCTGATCACTCTAAGATACGAATATTTAATAGTTAGGTATATAAACAGAACAAACGCATGAATTATTAATAATAAAGATACAATCATAATCGCACCTCCTGCAACATCAACAATACCGACACATTCATCACTCCATAAAATTATAATTATAATTGTACCGCTTAGGCAATTAATTAATTGTACTTAATTATGGGTAGTAGGCATCGATATTTCAATCAAAATCCTATTTTAATTTTCGTTTCAGCTAAAGACGAGTGCGCCTTAAACTGCAGGGCGATAGGCATGAACTTTTTCGCCACCCTCAATAAAACTGTTATAGATGGAACATCTTGTTTGTATCCCGTCGCTCATACAGGAAAAGCCGCTCCCAAAGGAACGAAGGGCATTTGCATCGATGGCTATTGCAAAGTAAGTAATTTAAGCTTCTATAATTCACCCGTTGATTAAAATCATCTGGGTAAACAATTTTCCCACCGTTTCAGATAGGTATCAATTTTATTCGATTGTTGCTTATGCTTATGCGGAGTAGATAAATCGAAACCGAGGCGATTCGAGCTAATGGGATGCGTGTTCTTTTAGTTTTCCATCGAACGATTAAAAAATAAAAACGACACGAAAGTGACGCGTGACGGTCGGCGAAATTGTTGTTGGCATGTTTGTAGATAGATAGGCATAAATCTTTGCAGGAACGTAATACATACATATGCATCGTATCGAATTCTAAATATACATATTTTTCGAGCCATAGACGTGCCTATACTCGCGAAAATAATGCTCTAAAAGTGCAATTAATCGCTTATTGAGTAAATTTACTGCTCGTTCTAAGTCAAACTATTTCCCATTTCACTTAAAATTATAGTGATATTTACTAAAATTCCACTTCGTATGCCTGTTTTTAGTAATCTTTTTATTATTACCAATTAGGTAGGTACCTTCAATGTTAATTAATTAGTGGACTCAATTAAAGCTCTCCTCTCAAGGGGATATGATATAATTTCTATAATTGGATTAAAAAATCATTTTGTTAATCTTTATGTTTTAAAAATCGACTGGTTTTCCTTTTTAAGGTTAATTCTTTTGTATTTTACGAAAATACCTTCGACAGCATTTCGATTTTAAATCCAATAAACCGGGAACAATAATGACAAAATTTAGATAATATCGAGCGTATAATTGTGAAAATTACCCGGCCCGTCAAAGCATCTCAAACGCTTAATCTAAATTCAGTAGCAATTATTTCTAATTTAAAGCTCGATTGTTTCAACCCTTTTTGGTAAACGATAACAAGTTTCTACCTGAATTCTATCATTTTATTATTGAAATCCATTTACTTTTCCACCAGGATAATTATAGTGATACGGTTAAACGAGTTTAACAATCATTTTTCCTACAAATCATTTTTAATCAACGTCTTATTAATACAAAAAGATATATATCTTAATGCGGCAATTCCTTATCCTATTGTGTATATTCTGATGCATGATGCAGTATAAAAGTTAAAAGTGTCACAATACAAGTCTAATCAAGATTGCATTCATTCCGTTTAAAAAATAAGCCTGTATCTCGAATCTTATTGCTCCGCTCTCGTACTATGACTACAGTAGCATTGTTATTGATTATATTAGAGATACACCTATTGTTTTCGATACATTCGCGGCTATCTGCACTTTTACGTGCCGGAAGGCTCCAAAAATGCACCAACCAGAAACGAATCCTCCAGGAAACAACCGAGTTACATCTACCGGTAGCATCGAAAAGCCGATTCTCCATCGAATGCTAAACGGGAAATTGAACGGGGAAAAATTCGCACGGGCAATTACCTTATCTAAAAGAAGATTAATCGGCGAACGTACCCGTTTCTACGTCGTTACATACAATTAAGTCGTTATATGCGTCGGAATGCAAAAAGCATCCGTGTTTAATCAATTAATTCGCAGTGACATAGATCCGACTTTTCTACATCTTTAATTCCGAATCGACATCAAAGTCATCTCTGATGCTCGCGTCTATTTAAAACAGTGATTTATAGGCGAGTTATTCCGAGTACCGGGAGGTATGCAACGAGCCAGCGATTCTCAAATTGAGCTATGAATACTCAACGTTGTAATGTAAAAAAATGCAGAATGAGAACTTATGCCCGATTTCCTAAAGTTAGGTAATACCTAAACCAGATTTAGGATTTTCTAAGTACAATTTGCGTTTCACCATGCACTAAGTAATACCTAAAGGTAATAAGAAATGCCTAAAGTTAGAACAGCTCACTGGGCTTGCCTAAAACATTTAGGAAATACTTAACCATACTTTTCATGTGATTTCATGTGACTTAAGTCTTGACTGTCTTTAGACTCTTTAGATGAACATTTAAAATGGGAGGAGAGTTTAGAAACTGGACGAAACTGATTTTTTTTCGCCTTTTTCGATATATAAAAATACGGCATTACAAATATTAGAATGAATTGGAGATGATTTTTAATTTGATACACAGGAAGTTTTTGGAACTATTGACCGTACACATGCATGTAAATATTCATAGTCCTGGAGAAGAAGATGTAGAAATATTTTACAAATCGGAAAGGTTATTTTTCTAATAATGTACAGACTACATCTTCAGCAGATTTAAAAATAACTAACATAATTTAAAGATGGCCCGGATCGTCAACATCTCTTCTTTTCTCTCAACATATTCAATTTCGATCTCCGCTTATTCGGTTTACACATCAAAATTAGCCAATGCTACCAATAAAATTCAAAAAATTGTCGAAATCAAATTTTTACCTAGGTATTTCTTAGTAAGGGATTTCTAGTTAGGAAATACCTAACAACATGTTGGTGAAATCGGGCATTAGAGCTAGACCAAATTTTAAATGGAGATGTTGCTCGGTTATTAGAGAAAAGATGAGAATGCATTGGAAGAATCCAATGCAGAATAAACCAGAAATGATTGTGGAAAATACTCGTGACCATATTAGCAATGCGGCTACGGGCGTAACGTATCCAATGGATCCAATAAATAAAACTAATTGTAAGTAAATAAGGCCGGTCGATAATTCAGGTGGGGTGATGTTATATTAAAAACGCGCTTAATGCCGCCATATATCATTCGGTAAATGGTATTCTTGTGTCACACTAATCACGGTCGAGGGCCTCGGTGTGTTTTGTGAAGGAGTCGGGTTAAAAGAATCTTTCCGTTTCGCCAGAGTCCATGCAAATCGGATGCAAATTCGCCGTGCGGCCGTAATGGAAACAATGAATAATATTATTAAAAGTGGCGTTTACCTAATTCGAAATGGCGCGTTTTGTTTGATCTTTTTGCAGGAGAAATAAGGTTATTCGTTGAAAGGCGCGAGATTTATTAGTCCCGTTTCAATTCGACTTTCCTATCGATGAAATATTTAGCAATAAATTGCGCGAACGTTAGCAACTTGTCAATTAGGTATACCTAAACGGAGTTTATAAGCTACCGAATAAATTAAGTGCAATTTACAAAGCGATTCTTCGAAAATGCAATTAACTATAGTTATTCGATAAACAAAGCTGGAAGCCGCTCAATCGAAACTTCCTTAATTCCTGATTAAAGCGCCGTTTTAATCTCGCTTCGCTTATATATAAAACGTAATTATTTCAAAGTTTAAAGAAACTCGACCAACGCCATATTATATCGCCTTTCAAGTAAATGGAGATATCATCTCGGTTTATTGCTGCATTTATTTACAAAACGAAAACTGATTCTTCACTCGTGCCAGCTGATAGTTAAATGATTCCCATTTAAGCTTATTAAATTATAACATGTTTTGTTTGTAAGTACAAGTTTGATTTAATGTGAAGTATTTCCTGGTATGATGCGTGCCATCTTACTGTATTATTAATTCTCGCAATGGGAATATTTTTATAATAAAAATTTATATACTACATTTTTTATTAATTATGTTATTATATAATCTAATCGAATGGTTGTTTCAAACATTGTATAGCTATATTCAAGAAGCTTATTGAAACCCTTCAAAACCGCATCTTGGTAAATAATGTATGGATTGTGATCTCCAAAGGCGAACTTTGTAAAGTCTAAAACCGTTCCATAAACTTCATGCAACTTTATACATCTACATTATGCTATTGATAATATTGTATGAAATAATCTATGAAGCCACCTTATTTCCAACGAAATAATTACCCTATTGTAGGTAAGTAATGGAAGTGAATATTCAATTAAACTTATCGGAATACGAAATTATGTGTTCAAACGAACAGTCTGTAAAGCAATTTCAATGATTTAAAGAATCGTACTTTTAAAAACGATCGTTAATTTATATCTAAATCGGCACGCGGCTGTTACAAAGAATTGAAAAAGAGCTAGAAGACAAGCATTAAGAATGCAGTTAATTTATGAATCGACGGTTTTTGATTGCTAATTACCAATTAACCTTCAATTTATGTTGCACTCGAATCCGTCACTTTTTTAAATGCGAAATATCGTTTTTCTTATCGTTTTTAAATAATGAATTATTAGTTCATCTGCAACACGACCATGAGTCTAAATTGATATTTAATTGCGATTTTATTTCTCGAATTCGCCATACAAGCGCTTTCAAATGCATTTACTTAAACTAATGATTTATTAATTAAATCCTTACTCTATAATCGTACACCCCATATTGATCGAACATGCTTTTATATGTATAGTATACAACACCCATAAAAATCCTCTTAATTACCCTTTCAGATATTTTTATTTTTCTTCGCATTCTTATTTTAATTCGATAGCACTTTATCCATTTTATCCGATTTGATTGTGTTCATTTTTTTCTCTTTTATGAAGGCCCATTCGTTGAACGTTTCCCATTGAACGTGACAGGATCTACTTAACTTTTTTTAATACATCTCTCGCACGTATTTGGCGAACAAACAGACAAAAGTACTATTAATGAAGTTAAACGAAAGAGGTTAAGCAAACATCATAATTGAGCAAGAATAATCTCATTAGGATCGTTCGTTGTGAAAACATGGGTGTAAATGCGGTCTTTTCTTAAAATTTTTCTTCGACTGATTTCTTTAATGCCTTAATTTATTTCAATTAAGAAACGAGCAATTATATGTAGTTAGTTGGGTTTTTAATTAGTTAGTATACAGTGTGTTATAAAAGTTTGAAATAATTTGAGAACAATTACTAATGAGGAATTTACAGTTTTTTGGTCTAATTTTCAGTAACTGCATGAATATTTAAATTTTTTCAGTGCGGAACAACTCGATCCTGCTGTTACACTAGACCATTTTTTGTATTGTAATTAAAGACCATAACATGGTAAAGAGCTTTTAATAACTTTATCTACGAGCTCCTCTTTCCACTAGGCTAACATTATTCACATCAGCGATGAGGAAGTCGCAAAAAAACTGATTAAAAAAAACGTGAT